TTTTTTTTTTTTAAAAAATTAAAAAAAAAAAAAAAAAAAACGAAAACGGTATTCCAAGGAATATTGAGGAAAGAATTTTTAAAGCAAAGAAGAAAGTGCGAATGCTGAACAACACAACCGATTTGAATTGACGTAGTTGAGAAGCCAACGAAAAATTAATTAATAATAAAAAAAAAAAGAGAATAGATCGAGCTTTAGTTGTTTGAAATATTCTTCTGTCTCAGTTTTTAAAATTTTACAGCTAATAATTAAACAAATCTTCTTGTAGAGGTTTCATCTACTCGGTTCTATGTAATTATCGGTGTCAAAAATAACTGTTCTCTAGTACTCCGCATAACGCACAAGTTTTTCACCTTTATCTGTATCTGTCAAGAAAAGGTTTTTATAACTAAGCTATGCGGTACACTATGGCAGAAAGCTAGAAACTTAGTGAAGTATTCTTACATCATCCTTCTCTTGGGCGTATCTCTTTAAAAGAATTTTTGCAGAAAATTATTTTCAGTTTCTTTCCTATTGATTTTCGAGCGTCATTGCAAAAATCAAACAATTGGCTCGCATTCGTCAGAAATCTTCAAATTGACGGTTTTGGCGTCAACGCTAAATGAAGCAAGGAATAAACTTACCATAGGAAAAGATGAAAAAAAAGTTAAATTTATAGAAGCCTGTTCGTTTTCCAACTTTTTTGCTTTCTCATTTATTTTACAATATACTCTGATAAACAACACTGGTTATTGAGAAATTTATACCATTGTTATAGATCTTTTTTTACTGTTGTCTGAATGCTATTTTATCAGGTTTAGCACTCCATTTAATTGTGGTTTCAGAACGTCATTCAACTGACAATTGGTTTGACGTATCAAATAGGTGATAAAGACTTCATAATTTTTTCAGTGATAACTGCTTGCTTCTTATCAGTTTAATCAGTCTGTTTCTCATATTGTTTTCATAAAAGTCAAGTGAGACAAATTTTTGATGTGCAAACGCTATAAGCAACTTATAGTAAGTATAAATATACAACTTTTCTATTTAAAGAAAAAATGATTTTTTATTTCAAAAACGTTATTTGTTCTAAAATTTCAAAATTTTCAAAAAATATTACTCGATCAAAAGTGAGATGAAGCGTTGTGAGTTGAGATAAAGTAAAATTTGCTTTGTTTGAATAGACTAATTCAAAAGCACATATTCACTGTATCGAAGCGAATATTAAAACAAATAAAAAAAAGACTGTGTACAGCGAACGAAAGAGATCAATTAACTGATATAAAAACAAAGTAACACCAGCATTAATTGATTATATTGTAATAATCTGTTATAAATAGTGTACAATAGTAAAAATAGTACAAACGACTGATACAATGTACTAACAGCAATTTTTTTTATCTGGTATTGAATAGTAACGATAACAGATAAAAACAGCATATTTTTTTTAAAAATATCTAAATTTTTAAACACATTTTAAAATACATTTCTTTTAATTCTCATGCTTTCTTCCTTTTCATTAACAACAATAACCGATATTTATGCTACAAGTTGGTATACATAGATTTGGAAATGCTAAATTTAAAAAGTATTAGAAATACAATAATTGGAAAAAATAAAGACAAGACCCACGCATTAACAACTGAGCTTTTAGCACAGTAAATGAACATTGAATAACCACAACCATCTCGCTTTGCAATTCCAAATTAAAATATTTACGTTTCCAAAGTGTACATTTATTTATATGAGATAATGTACCTAAATTTTAACAAAATTCAGATCATTTACTACACTTCTGTCAATGATACAGCTGAGCAAGAACATGCGATTTGAAAGACAAAAGCAACAGCACATAACTTCTGAAACTTTCCGACCTGTGTTTGTCTGTTCCGTTCTACTGCCGTAACTTTTTCGCATTTTCTACTCAAACTCATCCAAAAAAACAAAATTAACTAAATCTCGTGTTGTTCATTAGATTGCCCCAAACAGCACTCTAAAAAACTTTTTCCAACGCTCCCCTTTAAGTAAGAGATTTCTTTCTTAGCACTCAGTTTCACAGTTCAAGTTTCAAAAGAGAGTATTTAGAAGTAACCAATCACTTTGCGCAGTATAACACTTGGAGTCCGCCTTCACTCATGCTTCGTTTGCCGGTTTCTTATTTTTTGGCCGTCGTCGCCTACCTCTTGTTTCGTCAATTGTTCGCCTTCGTCCTCCAAAGTCGTTACTGTCATCTTCAAAGTTCGGTGCTTTGAATTGCCCTCTGCCTCTTTTTGTTGGAGGCCTCTTAAAATCCGATTTATTTTCTTCGTACTTACCGGTGCTTCTCTTTTCTGTCAAATCCTGCTGAACGCTCTGCATGCTTTCCAGTGAATGCATTTTTCTAGAATCGTTTTCTTCAAATAATCGTGTTCTATTGTCTTCCGCGAAAAAGTCATTTTGCGTAAATTGCTCTCCTACAACTGGTCTCTGGCGAATATCTGGCTCAAAGTAATCGCTACCTTGAAGCATCTTAGACCGAAATGCCTGATTTTCCGCTATAACACTTTCTATCAGACCTTTTTTATCATTACTTGCTGCTTCTATCTTAGCATTTGTGCTCAAAATTCCAACTGGGTACAAGTGCCCTTCACTTATTAGCTTTCCAGTGTCGGTTATTAGTGAACTATGCCGACAAGAAAAGCCACTGGGACTTCTTTTTGAACAGAAAAAGTCGGAACCTTCACTATTATCGTACGATTCTAAAATATCACCTGACGCACAATTTTCAGCTTGTTGCTTTAATTCGGTAGAGAAACTCGAAACACAACTATCACTTTTTCTGTAGGATTCGGTATCGGTTAATTCATACCCTCCATCATATGACCTCGACTGGTCAACGCTCATTCCACTTTCCTCTTGTCTATATTCCTCCTCTTTTAATGTCTTGGGCAAATTTTGTTCAAAGCCAACCGCATCTGACTCGGATCCTGGAGTGTCATATAAAACTTTTGTCCACTTGTTTTCTTCTCCATTAGGGAATTTGTTTATTTGATTTTCGTTTTTCAAAGATTCTAGCGTTGCAAAGTTTTGCTTTTCATCGGTGGATACTTTCTTTGATTTGTCATCACTATCCGTTGGTAAAACCGTTCGGATGTCATCATCGCCCACGTATTTTTCAGCAACTTGAGATTGCTGTGAGACTTCCGTCAACAATTCACTCCAGGATTCCGGTTTTTCCGCATATAATTCTTTGTTTGTTACTGCAACAGCTTCTGGTAAATTCTTCTCTTCCCCTTCAATGTCGTTAACTTCTGATTCTTTTTGATCTCTGGGATTTTCTTCTTTTTTACACTTTTCATCTTTCTGAGACGTAGGACTTTCACTGTTTTTAACGTTTTCGAGAAATAGTGAGCCGTTCATAACTTCTTGAGCTACTTCTTTCGTTGAATTATCGACACTTAATAAAGGATCTGCTTTTGTCTTTGTTTCGTCAATAATCTCTACGAATTGTTTCGTCAACTCATCTTCTTGTCTTCCTTTCTGACTAGTAACATCTTCACAGATATCTAGAGGTTGTTGACTAGAAATAAAATCTTTATCTTTTTCACCGGTTTCATGAGCTAGTGGAAAAGTTTCTGGATGCATCTCGTTTTTTGTCGTGTCATCATCAAGTTTTGCTTCAAAGCATTCAACTTCAGCAATTATTTTCTCAGTGACTTCCAAAGCATACTTTTGTATAACAGGCATGTTTGCCTCACAAGCCCTTTCGTCTCCGTCAAGACCAAATACTTCCTCTTCTTGAACCATCAGTTTTGGGACGTCGTTTATTACTGGTATAGTATTGTCCACACCTAAATTTCCCAAAGCGTCGAAACTAATAACTCCTAAAGCGCGCATTGTTTGATTTTCAGCTGATGCTTCCAACGCTGTTGTCCGAATATTGGACAACCCTCCCTGCGTACAAGACTGCGGGGATATGATTTCTGTATGGTTTAAAGATTCTAATTTTTCATCTGCTAGCCTTTTAGATTCTGCAAAAATGTCAGTTTGTTGGCTCTTTTCCACTGGACTGTGCGTACCATCAATGATCAGATTAGTGCTCTCGATTAATGTGCTGCTCTTTTCAGCACCCTCAGTACACATTTTTGTTACCTCAGGATTTTCTAAATAATCCGCAGATCCTACTTGATCACTTTCTGAATCAACGATCATTTTTTCTTTTTTTGCATCTTTAATGTCGTACAAACTTACTGATTGAGATTGGTTTTCTGAAGAACATTCTTTTTCAGCTGCTTGAACGACATTATTCACGATGGTGGTTAAAAAGTTCTTCACTTCAGTTTCAAAATTAATTCCTGTTTTATTCGTGTTACTAACGTATGAAGATTCGGAAATTTGATCAACTGTAGAGCTTTGAATTGGTTCTTTATTAGTTTTTTCACTGTAAGATGAACCAGTAGTATTTTCTTCAGGAACACTTGCTAAATCTGCTATCGTTTCTGTTTGGTCTGGATTCTTAAATAATTCATCTCCCATGTCGTTCTTGTAGACGGAAAAATCTTCTAATTCACTTATTGTTTTTTTATCAAACAAACCAACTATTTTGGCTTTATTTGTTTCTTCTCTAGGCTCGTGTTTTTCTAGTAGAATCTCCTTAGCCAAAATGTTTGCGTTTTTAGTATCATCATTACTCTCAACGCCAATGTCAATGTCGGTAATGTGTACTGGAGACGTCAATTTTTTTCTGTTGGCTTTCTGTAATTCCTCACTTTCTGGTTTTCGTTCACTGTTTCTGCTACCATTAATTAGTTGCTGATCATTTACCACACGCGTTGTCCTTTCCTCTGAATGTTGCATTTTCTCGACGGCAAGTTTAGTTGTTTGGTCGGCAAAATTCATTTTTTCTGTTTGAAGAATTCTGTCAAAGTCTGGTTCCTCAGATTTGAGCTCTTCACTAACTTTCTGAATGATCTCATCAATAAGTGTAATCCATGGTTGTGCCTTTTCAGGGGAAAGTTCTTTCTGGCTTTTATCTGTATGACTGCCTGTGGGCAACGACTCACCGACAAATGCCATCACTCTTTCTCCAGTTTTTGTAACGCTTAAAAGTTGTGGTTCTTCACAAGTTTCTACTTTTTTTTCCTTCTCTGCAGCACTCGTGATAGGCTGTCGACCTTCAATAAGTGTTGCTTTGCTATCCTGATCACTAACAGCAGTCAAAGATTCTAGCTGTGATTGCTCAAAAGATTCTTCTCTTTTGTTTTTGTCTGCGTTGCTCACTAAGGATTCTGCTTTTTTTGAAGAAGTGTTTTTATTATCTTCATCTGTAGCAACACCGGAAATTTGCCACTGTGGCTGCTCAGAAGATTCTGTTTTTCTGTCTGCCAAAAATTGTGATTTTCTGTCAGATGCCACCTCATCCTCTTGACCTGTGGCAACAGACAAGGGCTGTGCTTGCTGTTGATCTAAAAATTCTTCTTTTTTCTCGGCAAACACAGCGTTTGTTAAGGGCTGTGCTTCTTCGAAACGAGCAGTTTCAACTTCCTCACTCGCAGAGGCAGCCTCCAAGTGCTGTTGTGGTTGTGCGAAAAATTCTTCTGAGCTTTTTTCATTCACACTACTCATTAAAGGTTGTGATTCCTCAATAAACACTTCTTTCTTTTCTTCATCATCAGTGATAGTAGAAGATTCTGGTTGCTCAAGGGGCGGTTTCATCTTTCTCTTATTATCAAGGTCTCCTGAAGAGTCCACCGTCAGCACTTCTTCCCTCTCATTGGCATTATGATCTTTTTTGTTGACTTCACCTGTGCTTTGAGAGTGTACCTCTATCTGTTCATGTTTTGTTTTTTCGTTAGAAGCGTTCTCGAATTCTCCATTTTCACTCAGTGTAGCATTTATCCAACTGTAGTTTAATGTCGGCCAAATAACTTCGCTCCAAACGTATCCTTCACTATTACCATATTCGATACTTTTAGCGTGATCGCCATGCATCGCGGCAGGCTATATAAAGATCCTAAAAACATTTCTAATTCTTTGATGTCAATAAAAAAGTATTTCTCTTCTTTTTTGATATATTTATTTATTGCTTTTCATGTATCATTTTTTACCATAATTGATAAACAATTTATATTATTCTTTTGAAACTCTTAAAAATTGATTATAAATTTGCAGAATTCTTGAGTAAAATTTCTAGCTTATTTAACTCATTGGAAAAAAGTGCCTTTGTTGTTTTACTTACTGTGAGTTGTTAGGCATTATTTTTGCAAAAAAAACTTTTGCTTTCTCACTCTACTCATTATTTAGACAAGAACTTACTAGCAAAAAATGCATATACAGTAATGATCGTGATTTAAGCGCTGATAACTTAAACAGATGAAATAGGAGGAGTAATTAGTTATAACTTTTCTGCTAAGGCTATTTCCTGTTAGATCTCTTCTAACTGTATGAGGATCACTAAGGAATAACATTTGCACTGAAAATTTTTTTGTGCGTAAGAACTTCAACAGTTCAACCGAAGTCAGTTCTGTTGCGAAGTGACGCTGAAAACCGCAATTTTGTCTCTCCCTCTGAATTTCTAAACTTTTTAATACACTTTGCCAGTCGGCAGGAACAGTTGGTGATTGTTAAATTAAAAAATTACTATTTATTCTTATTTGCTGCTTTGCAGTATCTTTATCATACGAAGTCTGCCCGTTTCGGTGCATACAGTTAGAGTAATGAGCTGAAATTGACATATCCGACAGCTGTCAAAAGCCGCTTAGGGCTTACTGCTGTGGTCATATAGAAGAAGGTGGAAGATCAGAGTGAGAAAATTATGTCTTTATGATGTTTTTATGAAGATATTCCGTATGGATGAATTGAATGGGAAAAAAATTGTTCAAATTAATAAAGTTTTTATCTGTTGAGACCAAATTTGTTACTTCTGCTGTGCCTATATATACATAAATATATTTTTTTCATTTTTATACAGAACTCGTTTTATTTTCAGGGTTTTTACCAAAACAATTAAATTTAAGTCGCTAATAATATAGCGTCTTTCTGTATGGACGGCAACGACAAGAAGGAAAAAAAAAACTAAAAATTTTGCTAATAAGTTTTATGTTAATTGAGTGTTTTTTTTTTTTTCATCTTAAAATACACAACAGTATCGGTACTTGCAAATTAGTCTCGCTGTTTTATGGGTCACTGTAATTTTAGACACTAAGTTATAGCTTATAGTTTATAATAGTGAGAGTAGGCTAAGATAACAGGCATGAAACGTGTCGAAAAAGCTGTAATTTCGTTTAAAAAAACTTTCTGATGGTTGCCAACAATCTGCACCAAAGAATGTCTGTTGTATTTCTTTAGCACAGTAGACCATTAATAAATCTTGTTGTATTTCACTGTAAATCGTTATATTAATTTAGTTTAAAAAAACATTAGTTTCTTTTGCTTATTTTTTCTTCACATCTTATTAGCGAAAAGAAAAAGAGATGTAAATAGATAAAGAATATTTATTGAAAGCAAAAAATCTTTTAAAAAAGAAATTTCTGCTATACTATACAATCTTTTGTTTAAAAAAGAAAGTTTTTTTCAGCATGATTCTGCCTTTTTTTTTTTGTCCACATTAAATTGAGTCCTTTATAAAGATCGCAATTTTTTTAAACAAAAAATTAGATGACTTTAGATTAGTTGTTTAAATTGAAAGAGATAGTTATACTGAATAATCAACTTACCAGTTCTCCTGATATTTAATAAACTGCACTACTGTTCCGTAACAGACGAAGACTCAATGGCTTCCAATTTCAAATTTACTGCAAACGAAAATATACAGCAGTTTATTGATAATGAATCAGTAAAACACCAGTTTTCACTTTTTATTTTCTTTAATTGGTTTCAACTATACTAATGTTATAAAGAACAATATGAATTAAACTTTTTTTTTCTCGATGTATTATGCTTTCTTTCTTTTTGATAGCCACAAAAAGGTAGAAAAAAATGAGACAGGAGATGGGAAAAATTCAAAAAAAAAAATGAAAAATTTACCATGAAATCTTATGCGTGTTTGTAACCTGAACTCTTCACTGTCTGATAAATATCACCAAAAGGAAAAATTTTTGGCCACAGAAACCGTTCAAAAATTTGTCGTAATACACAGATACATAGACAATATATACAACAGATGATCACCGATATCAGTTTTTCGCCAATTGCATGCCTCAAAAATTTTTTTTTGTTGATTATATTGCGTGATCATTGCCATTTAGTGGCTATT